CCCTGTGGCTGCAGGGCTGGGCGCTGCTGTGGAGCCGCGCCGGCATGGGGCTGGCGCAGCTCGCCCCCACGGCTCCGCCGGCACCGGGTAAGGAGCGGCGCGGGGAGCCGGGGGCCCCTTCCGCCCCTGGGTGCGGACGGCGGGGCCTTTACCCGGTGTTGCCGGAGGGGCGGGCCGGGCCGGCAAAGGGTCCCGCTCGCCCCGGGGCCGGCGGGCGCCTTCTGGAGAGTTGGGGGAGCGCCGGGTCCGTGTGGCGGAGGGCGGCCCCGGGGGGGGCTGCTGGCCCCGTGGGGTGGCTGCTGGCCCCTGGCCTCCCCCAGAGGAAGCGGCCGTGTCGCCGGTTCGTGTCGCCGGGGGGCCCGGGGTGTCGGGCCTTTCGCTGCAAGGAGACAGCAATCGGTTGGGTTTTCTGTGCCCTGACTGACGATGAGAAGTGGGGCCTGGGGGGAGACTGGCAGACACGCTGGCTGTCCTCTCTGCTCTGTTGCAATAATTTATCTCAGAGTTGCTTTTCAAAGGCAGTTGGTGAAACTTGTCCTCAAATTTGATTGCCATTAACAGATTTGAACCAGAAAGGTGTTTATCAGGTTGGTTTGTATGAAGTTAGGGTTCCTCAAGTGGACCTTGACATGTGTGTTTAGAGTCCAGTTTGTTTCATTTGTTTTACAGCAGGGTTTATACTCAAAATGGAAATAACCACCTCTGTGACACAACTAGCTTGAAGTAGAAGAGGAAGAGAGGTGTCTGTGTTCCTCACCTGTGAGAGAGGAAAGAGAGGTAGACCTAAGACCTGCAAGTTAATCAGTAAATGTAATTGAACCCAGAGAGGAACGTAATTGAAACCAAAGAGCTAAAAGTTTGGTTGGAGCCAAAAATTGGGTTGAATCGGTACTGAAGTTGCTTATGGGTTCCCTAGGAGAGGTTTTCACATATTGTTATTCTTACGTGAGTTTAGGAGCTTGCTCATCATGCTAAGTTGATTGTTGATATGGAGAAGGATCATGCTACTATACAGAAAGATGCAGATGACCTTTAAGGAATAAATACTAGAAATAAGGTTAAAGTGAAAAATAAAAGATGGATTGTTATGCCATGATGAGTATTATTTTAATCTTAAATTGAAACAGGAAAAAAAGTAGGAAGGTAGACTTGTTGACTGTCAGATACATTTCAGTTACTGAAGCAATCCTCTTGGAGAGGGATGGCAGTTTTATGGGAGTTTTGCAGGATTGTGGGACCTTGTATGCTATCCTGCTAAATATTGTACAAGTTCAGCACCTGCGTTCGATGGGGCTGGATTGGCACAAAACAGGGCTACAAGGCTATATTGTTCCCTATTTCAGGAAATAACAAGAAATGTGTGGCTTTAGTTGCTGGAACAGGAGGGAGGCTGAGGAGGAATAAGAGTACTTTGAGAAAGCACTCATAGCAGTAGGAGGGAACAGCTGTTTAAAGTGAAGAACAATGTTGCCCTGAGTGGGGGCGGAGAACAAATCAAAATAAACTAGGTATGAGTAAGCTTAGTGTAGGTTTTGGAAGGTTTCTGGCTGTCTGAGGAGTTGACCTGTTCTGGGTTTTTTTAGTGGAGTAAGAGTTCCCTCAATTTCTCGCTGATCTTAAGGTTGTGTGGCAGTCATCAGTCCTTCTGCGTATGCTGGGATAGAGCCCTGTCTTCCTAAAAGAAAATTAAGTAAGAAAAATCTCTACATATGTTACTTTCATGCAGAAATACATATTGTAAAGGGGAGTTTTATTGTTAGTGCTATTCTATTTTACCTATATTTTGTGGAGGAACAGCCTTTGTTCTGTATTTGTATATTTTACCCTGGTCCATGAGAGAAGGTGAGATATTCAGGTAATTGGTGTATAGTTAACTTAGTACAATTCCTGTATGCGTGGGCAGCATTCTAGTTGTTAAAAAAAAAGAAAAAAGAAAAAAAAAGACAGAAAGCATGCATGAACAGTAACGGCTTTTTCTTATTTTGTGAGAGTATAATCTTCATGCAGCTACAAGTCTGTACAAGGTGCTACGCTAAACTATTTTGATAAAAATTGCACCACTTATCAAAGTCATGCTTCTACTGCCTAGTAAACCAGGCTTGGTATCCAGAAGTGATTTCTCATTTTATAACATATTAGGTAATTAATGCTGATGTTAAGTGTTTATGTGATGTTATAGAAGGAATGATTACGTTTGATAAATGCCGTTTAAAATACGATGTGAACTGTTGTTGGCAGTGGTGCTATGGCTTACATTTATTTTTTTTCCCCAATAAAGATAATACAGTAGTCCCTAGTCTACTAGAGGGAGACTGTAAACTTAATATCTGTTTCAATAAAAATAATTTTGAATTTTTTTATTCAGTGTGCTGGTACACATAATGCTTTAGCATGGTGGATGGGAGGGATGGTCTGGGTTTTTCTTCTTTTTCAGTTTGAGACGTGATTTGTTCTATCCTCTGCTCTCGTGCAGAACACTGTAACTGGTGGGAAATGTCTATAAGTGATGTGACCCAGAGAAATATGTATAGCAGAATGGAAAAAAAAAATTTTTCAATAAGTCATAGTAATGTTAAATTTTGTAACAACAGTACATAAAGATGTTTTGATTTTTGAGATATGTTGTGGTGATGTTGTGAAGTATTTTCATGAAGACTAATATGCTGTTCTTTATTCTAAAAATAAATAACAGAAGTCTAATTTTTTTATTATTTAAGTCCCTGTCTGTTGGTTGTATGCCAATGTAGGTTATCTGCCATAGTACGTCAGTGGGAAGGCAGTTAAAGAAGATAAACAGCATGAAAAGCTTGTGAGATTACCTTCTTTGATAAGTAACATTTCTTCAGTTTGTTGTAGATGGTTCAGTTACTGAAAATGTGACCTAAACTGTGTTTTTAGAGGTCTGTGGGGTACTTGCATGCTTCTGACGGTACCTCGCTAATTCATGTTCAAACAGCTGGTTTGTGTAGGTGTTTTGCATTTTAAATTGAAAATATAATGAAGTATTTTTGTAATAAGCATGATGGTACTCCATGTAGAATAAAGCCATTTTAAAATTTCTGAGTTTAAACTGAGAACTGTTTCTGAATCTGCTTTTTTTTTTTCCCCATTAATTGGTATATGGGCCAGGCTCTTTCTCAGTTAATTGGTAGCAGATGAACTAGGAAGTGTTTTTTCTATATGGATATATTAGTTAAAGCTAAATATACTGGTACATAGAATACATTTAATGTTAAGAATTAGTACCAGAAGAGTAGAATATTGAATTATGAAAAGAAAATATTAAAATATGTAGTTGTCTCAACATGCCAATAACTTAACTCAAATTGAAAACTGCTTGTGACTAATACAGTTATTCATTCAAAGTAAAATTGGATTCCTGATTTGAAGATATTTTCCCCTCATAGTTAAGTTATAAGTTGAAATAACAAGCAGTTAATGTCATTAAATAATATTAAAAATTATCATAGGAACTACAATTATTGGAAGGAAAATTCAGGTTCAGACCAGGAGAGCAAACTTGCCGTCATCTGCCAAGTATTTCATCTGGGTCAAGCCTATGACATGTTACGTGGTCCTGTGGCCACCAGATTGTGTCTACCTTGTGGATAAGAGACATGGGTCTTAAGATGATAAGCATTCGGTACTTCTAAATGAAAATCATAGCCTTTGGCTGAAATCCTCTGGGGATGTGAACACCAGTAAATATTTACTTTTTTTTTGGCTAAAAGATGTTTTTTAAGATCCAAAGAAAATACAAATCAAGTCCTTCTGCATAGCTTGGGGTTTCAAACTTACGTTTGAGTTCTTGTTGACCTCTTACAAAATAAGTTTGTGTCCTGTGTTTGGAAACATTTTTTAATGTTATTTAAAATCATGTTATTTGGAGACTTTATCTTTTAAAAACTTTGTTCCTCCAGAAGAAGGTTAGTATCTATGGAAAGGGGACCAACCCTAGGCAGGGGTCAGCTTTAGCTAGGCTGCTAAAGCTGCAAAACTTGGAACATTGTCTAAATTGAAGCACAAAAGTCTTAGAACGGCAGCAGAGATACAGGGAGGCTCTTGGCTCTTATCTCTTGTGCTGTCCCTACAGAAAGCAGATGGAAGTTAAAGGTAAGCTTGAATTGTTTGCCAACTACGTCAGAGGTCACACTTAAATGCTTCATATCTCTCTTTGCTACGCTTCTCCTGGAATGGAATTACTGAGTTTTCATTACTTCAGTCAAGGTTGTTGTTGGTATCTAGAAGTAGAAAAAAGAAAAAGCTAAATACGTTAAATGCTTGACATTACTGAGTAAAAATAAATGTATCATCTGAGTGTGTTTTGGTTTTTTTTTTTTTCCAGCATGTTCAGAGTTTTCCCAGCGCTCCTGTGAAGAATGTCTAAAGAATGTTGCGGTAAGATTTTTAACATCCTTTTTGATTGTTGAGAATTCAGTGATTTTTCCACTTAATATGAAATTAAGTTGTTAGGCTTTGTCTGGTGGGGGTTTTGTTTTTAATGGTGAATCTAGTAAAACTACACTTAATAAAAAGAGGAAGTCAAGGTCAGCCAGTTCTAATTTCTGTTATTACTTAAAGATCAACTGATGTGCTGCTTCCCCTCTGTCACACTGATGCTAGTGTGCTTTCACTAGCAGGGTTGCTCCATGATTTAGCAACTCGGGGTGTTTCTCTGCTTTGTCTGGAGACGACAGAGGGTGCAGACCCCCAGGCTGCAGTTTCAGTGCCTGCTCAGCACTTGCACGGTGCAACTGGACACCTTGACGTTGCTGCTGATTTAGACTCGTCCTCATGTCCCAAGCAGCACTTAGCTAAATTTCCATCTTACAAAAGGCCTAGATAAACAGACTCTTATGTGGCTAAAATGCGTTGCATTTCTGTATGCTGAATAGGAGAACTGGTAAATTAATGTAGATAAACTAGAAATGCCTTTCTCTAGAAATGCCTTTCTCTGGAGGTGCCCCAAGCAACGCGTTTGACACAGGCGGGATCAGTGCTTGTAGATGTTCACACATATTGGCCTCTCCACTGACTGCACCAGACCGTAAGTGCTTAAGGCTGCCAGGCTTGGTCACTGTTCTGGTAGCAGAGTGTTTAGATTTCCAATGAGGCTGCAATAAGGCAGACATTTAAAACACTAGAATTTGTTTTGCTGTCCTTTGCTCAAAACTGTTTTAGCTCCACAGTAAGTGTCATGATAAGTTAGATTAGATATTAGGAAGAAATTCTTTCCTGTGAGGGCGGTGAAGCACTGGCCCAGGTTGCCCAGGGAAGTTGTGGCTGCCCCATCCCTGGAGGGGTTCAGGACCAGGCTGGATGGGGCTTGGAGCAACCTGGTCTGGTGGGAGGTGTCCCTGCCCAGGGCAGGGGGTTGGAACTGGATGATCTCTAAGGTCCCTTCCAACCCAAACCTTTCTATGATTCTAAGTATGTGGAAGGTGTCTGTCCCTGCAGAGGAGAAGCAGCTCTCATATTTAAACTGAGAATTTATCTTGAATTCTAACTTCAGATGTCACTGAAAATAAATATTTCAGGAGTCTTTAAGTTACATAAGTTACTGCAAAACTTTCTCACCAAGGAAAATTGAGAAATACCTAACTTACATGCTTTGTGCTCGTCTTACGCCTTTTTTATCTTTTTAATGAAAAAATATTGTCTTGTATTGATGTGGTTATTGTGTGTTGTCAGACCTGTGTATTTATTGCCATAAGAATGGCATTGTGTAAAGAACTCTTCATATTGAGACGTATAAAGTAGGATATGGAAAATACAGGATATTAAAGATTAAATGTTCAGCACTACCACTGCTGTGACTGTCACTTCAAATCAGTGCTGCTAGCAGAGATACATGAGCACAGCTTTTATTAACCTGAGAGCTCCGAGCTTACCTTGTGAGAGAAATAAACCCTTTAGCTGTGTTTGTCTGCTGACAACACCAACAAAATTACAGATAGGTTATCTTCAGAATCTGTCAAACCAGTGACAGTGTCCAGCCTTGTTTCTGTGACAGAACGATGGATGATGCAGAGCAACTGCTTCAATAACATCAGTGTTAACTGTGAAGAAAGGAGTTTAGACTTGATTCAGACAATTTGTGCATACGTTAAAAAAAAAAAAGGTTCAAGAACAAAGCCATTAGCATTTCTGTGAGCAGTATAAAAGCAAAGGATTGCTGAAATTATGTTGTTTAATTTCTTCAGTAGAGGGAAAAAAACCCAGGTTTTCATATTGGTGGAAATATAGATAGCAGCAGATAAAAATGAAAATTAAACATTTGGTGAATGGATAAACACAATTCCAAACAAATTCTAAAATGTAGTAATTTAATTCAGATAATTAGAATTTTAATTCAAAATGCTCAAATTTTGTTTATCATAATTATAATTGGCTTGGTCCTTTGGATTGGTCTTTAGGGTTGATGAATATCTATGTTCTTGTGTTTTCATCAATGAGTTCTGAGTGGTAATTTTATAGATATGCTGTTGCATTTCACTTTATTCCTGACATGATACATTAAAAAATAACACATGGGGGTGTGGTTAGAGCTGTTGAATCCTGAAACTCAGTTTATTTACTTCAAAGAAGGATTTACTGCTATGACTAGCAGATTACCAGATGTATTAAAATTTTAAAACTTTTATCTGTTACCAGATAATGTATAAATATCTATTAATAAACATCTTGAGAGAAGTTTCTCTTCGTGTTTCTAACTCCATTTGACAATGCGTAAGACAAAATATCTAATGCAAGCACTAGTTAAAGGTAGGACTACACTTTAAAATCTGTGCACCTGTAGAGACTCTGCATTCTGGAGAATTTTACAGTCTTATTTTTAACTTTTGAGTAGTCTGCCAACACACTTTTCTCCTCAGCTATTTGTTTTTGTCATGCTCATCTTTGTCCTGATAAGAAATGTATGGAATCTAAATTCTCGTGGAAAATGGATTTTAGGCAAGGTAGACCTTAAAAAAAAAAACAAAAACAAGTTGCTAACACCTATAAGAAATTATATGATCAATAAATATAGCCAATTTTTTTTTGAAGGAAAGGTGGGGATAATAGTCACTTGCATGCATCTATCTGACCATAGAGGAACAAGTATTCATTTTGTGCTCATAGCTACTGTCTCTTGTCTTGTAATACTGATAATGTGTCCTTAAAATGAGTGAATTAATCATGTCGCATTTCATTATCCATGTGAGACTCTACTAAAATAAAGCCAGTGATATCAATCGGTGGAATTAATGAGTGAATTAATCATGTTGCATTTCATTATCCATGTGAGACTCAACTAAAATAAAGCCAGTGATATCAATCGGTGTGAACGTGGTTCCTAGCAGACTGCAAAGGATATATGATTCACCTCTAAATAATTTTTTTTGGTCTTTGTTTTTAGGTTATGTAGATGAGGATCACAGTTAAGGAAATGTTTTACCCTCAGGTGTTTAGGGTTTTTTTTTCTGTTTTCTAACTTAATTTTGGCAATTATCTCAGTTTTTAGCAGTGGGAATGAGTCACTTGAAATATTTTCTTTTACTTCAGGCTCTGCACCAATCGGTAGCTGTATCGGGTATTGCCTCTTGGGCTACACACATTTTTAATGGTTACACGTAGTAGTCTCCATCACAGCAAAAGGTTGACCTTTCTGTGCTCCCAGTTGTCACCAACAGTATCGAGTCATTGAAGCTAGAAGAGACCTCATTAGTCATCTAGTCCAGCCTCCTACTCAGTGTTACATTCAAACAAGTTTAACAATGACTTTTAGTCTGTCCCCTATTAGCCATTATTTTTGAACCATTAATTCTCATTAAGTAATTGATCCAGCAAAAATAAGCATATTCTTATCTAACATCCTTGATTAAAATTAAAACTTAGGAGAGCAGAGCTTTTTGCAAAGATTGTTCTGCCTCCTTAATTATTTTTGTTGATGTGTCTTTATGGGTATGTTTGACTTGTATGGTCTGCCAAATACAAAATATTTTTCTTGTCTCTTTCTTCACTTTTTTCAAGAGGGCAGAATCTACTGCAAACTGCTTCCTTTGTGTTTAACGTTTTCTAACCCTTTATAGCAAGATAAAGACTTTGTGCAATTGAGGATGTATGACAGATGTTCTAGATAGTACTGTTAGATAAAGCATAGTTCCTGGATGAGCTTTTTCTAGAATGAATCTTAAAAAAATGGTTCTGTCAAGGATTTCTTTTGCTGTCATCCAAAGCTGCTTCAGTGGTTGAGTTGTATGGTAAAGAATTTTGAATGAATATCTATTTTTATAGAAGAAAACCTTGATGCTTACTGGTGACATAAAAAGCAGAAAAATTGTGCTGGTATTGTAATTATAATCCATCTAAGAAATTTTAAAAATATCCAGATATGTAAGTTTGTACAATTTAAGGTACTTTGCAACACAGATTGGGTAAGGCTGTATCTTTTATTATCTTACAGCAAAACCTCCTGTAGAATTGTAAAGGTCCTTTAGTAGTTTTTCTTTCTGTTGATAGTCAAATAGGGCTGAAATAAGAGGATAGGTGTACTTGTATTTCTCAAAGATACCTGGTGTTTTAAAATTCTGAACAGTTCTGTATATCTTGTTAATTTCAGTAATTCTAAACTCAAAACTATTTTATCCTCAAGTATACAAAGTACCTCAGTATCTTCCCAAATATTTTCAGGTAAATATTTTTTACTTTTATTACCTGTAAGTACAAAATGTACTTATCCACAGTTCAGTTTAGGCTTCTTTAGGAATTGTACCAGAACTCTGCAGGTTTCACACTAGAAAGCACTTTCAACCTATTTGTGCAGTTCTGTATGCAGTTAAGAATTTCCTCTGTGGAGCGGAGCACTAAGTTGTATTCTGTTTTTGAAGATCAATAATTTGGTTTTTGTTTGTTTCGTTTGCACAGTGCCTTTGGTGTTACACCAACAACACGTGTATTGATTACCCTGTGAGAAGCATTCTTCCACCATCTTCATTGTGTTCCCTCTCCAATGCTCGATGGGGAGTTTGCTGGAGTAGGTATTCATTTTACTTTTGCTGTAGGGAATTATTTATGAGTATGCTTAGATTAAAGTAAGACTACTACTTACTGAAGGAGTTACCTGATCATTTATTTGGAGGGGTGGGGGGAAGAGGCAGGGGTTATGATGCGTAACCATGATCCCTAATCTTCTGGACTTACAAAACGGTCATTTTTAAAGGATCTTTGTGAACAACCAGTACAGTTATGCTGATCCAGTGGCTTTAAAACATCTGCTATGTTGTGCAGTTCTGTTGACTCCAAAGTCTAGACTGGGAACCGGTGATGTGGGAATGTTCTGAGTGTTCTGTGCAGTTAGTCAGTATTCACCTGTTTCTTAAACCGTAATTCTGGGATACAAAGAAATAAGGTCATTCTGTTAACAAAGGGTGACCATTCTTACCTTTTGAAAAAATTTTAAAAATATTGGGTGATATAGTTGGTTCCACAATTTTTGTAGTATATTCCAATCGCAGCAGTGAACCGATACTACAGGAATGGAGCCACCCAAAAATTCTTGAATGCTATTTTTGCTTAAACAACTGAAAAAAGTGTGATCTCTGGGTGCTGAAGTTAAGGTTAAAAAGAAGCGGTAGAGTGCCGCTGTAGATTGTAGTGCTGCATCAGTTCATTGTTTTTGGATTTCCTTTTGCTCTGCATTTTGTATTACAAAATACTGTGTATTTTGTATTACAAAATATGCTGCCCTTGGCGTGAAGTCTTCAGAGCTATTTTTGCAGTAGTGTGTATACAGATCTAAATTCAGACTAGACTGGAACAGAGAACAAATAAAGACATTGGAAAGTTTGTCATATGAAATAAGAGTACATCTTCAGTCCAGCAAAGCAAAAGCTTGCTGCTTTCTATGTGTTTGCTCATGAACACTGTGGCTGAAGGACAAAAACAAGTGAGGATGAAGTATCAGTGACTGTTCACTGTAAATTAGAAGAAAGTTAACACACTTAGGGCAGTGAGATTATGGAGTAGTCTCAAAATTTGAGTTGCAGAGGTAGAAGATCGCTATTAAAATGGAGCGTGTGAGTTTCTGAATGCTACTGCTTCATGTAGTCCCTGCAGACTGAGGGACTGCTTTGGACAGTACAGGAGAACTTTATCTATTCTTTGTTCTTAGCAGAAGGTCTGTGTTTTATGAGAGAAAGCATTTATGCTTAGCCTTGTTTTTTAGAGCTACAGGAAGTATATCATTTCAGTGATAAGGCACACTTTTAAGGAAATTGGGCTTTCAAGATTATAGTGAGTGTTACTATGATCTGTTAAGCAAACTGTTTTCTGGAAGTTGTGGGTTGACTCCTGGCAACAGCTAAGGACCCACGAGTGCTGTTACTATAATCTGTTAGGCAAACTGTTTTCTGGAAGTTGTGGGTTGACTCCTGGCAACAGCTAAGGACCCACACAGCTGCTCCTACTCTCCGTCCGCAGTGGGATGGGGGAAGAAAATAGGAAGAACAAAAGCAAGAAAGCTCATGGATTGAAATAAAGACAGTTTAATAGATAAAGGAAAAATGAGGAGAAAAAAAAAAAAAAAAAAGCAAAGGAAATCAATTACTGGAGAAAAAAAAAAAACAAACAAGCAAAGGAAATCAATTACTGCCTCCCACAGGCAGACTGATGCCCAGCCAGTTCCCGAAGAATAGTCACCTTGGAAGCCAGATACCCCTCCACTTCTTTTTCCTTCAGGTTTTGTTGCTGATCATGGCACTCTGTGGGATGGAATATCCCTTTGGCCAGTTTGGGTCAGGTGTTCCCACAGTGTCCCCTCCTGACTTCTTGGATCTCTTGCCTACCTCCAGCCCTACTCACTGTGGGAATAGGGTGTGGGGAGAAGGGAAAATCTTCACGCTCTTCAAGCCTGTTCAGCAGCAGCCGAAAACATTGATGTGTTATCAGCATTGTTTTAGCCAGAAATCAGAAATATGGCACCATGCCAGCTGCTATGAAGAAAGTTAACTCCATCCCAGCAGTGCCCTGTACAGAAATGCGTTTGTGCTCTGTCCTTTTGCAAACCACTGATTCCTGCTCTCTACTGATACTAAGGGTGTTCTTGACAGTTTACTTCTGGTACAGAAGTGGCTTCTAGCTTGGGCACTTTTTGTGTTTCTAGATTGAATGCAGCTTAATCAGAAAACGTAGCACACTCTCAGCAAAAATGTAAAAGTGGAAAAAGAAAAAAAAAAAAAACCACAACCAAAAAAACACTAAACCCTTTCTCCCAATACGCATTTCCTTAATAGATTTTTTTACAAATTATACCCAACAACATGCCATGGGGATATATAGTCTTATTGAGACTGTCCCCTTCGGACACAGCAGGAAAACTAATTACCTTCTAAGCATGGTGGCGTTTTCCCTTTTTGCAAGTAAAATCAGGAGGTGAGGGTTGGCTCAGTGTTGCTGGAAATGAAGGTGAATATTGCAGCTCTCAATGTGAAAAACAAATGACTGGCTTCCAGTTAGAATTTTTTATGGAATAAGACATATTGACAGATTATTAACCAGCTGTGAAGAAAAAGGAACAGTATAGAAGCAACGTAATACAGTGTAGCCTAATTGTATTGTTTTTCATGAATAATAAACAAATGAAATAGATAGTGGAGACAGGAATATGGACTGAAAACTGACAGTCTTTTCTACACTTTATTAATAGGTTCAAAATGTATTTTTTGCTTCCATTAAATAACATTTTAAAAACTAAATTATATACTTCAAAAAAACTAAATGGAGATTAAAACCATTTTCTGTTTTCTACCTCACTGGATGAGGTATATTTAATTGCTTGTACCTTGTAGGGGAGTAACGGAATGAGAAATGTGGTACAGTGTACATGTTCAGAATTAACTTGTGTATGGTAAATAGAAACTATGTATTAATCCGTATTATAAACTGTGTCAAGTAAATTACAACACATAAGCAAAAATATTTACTGGGTTTTAATCTTTGACAAGATTTGTGAAGGTTATGCCTTGGTGAGGTCTGTAGAGAGGGGTAACAGACCCATTGTCTTGTGCACATGATCAGAGAGGATAAACCCTCTGAACTTTACTTGCTGAATTTGACTGCCTTATCACTAGTCCCCTGAAGCAGGAAAAAGTGCAGGTGTAGCTCTGTCGTGTCGCTGCAGCAGCATGAAGCTGCTCAATCTGGCAGAGTTCAGAGGGGTTGATGTGGGAGAAAGGAGAAGAGGCAGCTTCCCTGCCCCTTCCCCTGTCATGCTTTAAAATAGACAGTGCGGGGTATTTCTGGGGAGAGAAGTTTAGTGTTTATTGTTTCTGTTAAAACTTTCCTGTATTATTTCATTTTGTCCTTTGTTAGGTCCATTAAATAACTCCTCAAAGTTGCGCCTGTAGCTTTGCTTGTATTGTCCCTGTTGCTGACTTCTTGGGCCTTGCTCTTTTCCAGGACATCAGGTTTTTGATTTTTTTCTTTTATGAATGCAGTCCTGTCCTGGTTTAGACTGGCTACACTTGTTACAGTGTATGCTGTTAAAATAGCATTTTATGCTATTTTAACCTGCCTTCTACTTCTTAATCACTCTTCGTGTCACCCCACATAGAAGATGACTGGCAGTTTTAATAGAGACTTTTATATTGGCTCCTTCAAATCCCCTGACACTGTCTTATTTCATTTTGCTCTTTCCTAGAAACTGCTGCATGTAATAGGTGTACATTGATGCTGCATCTCTATGACTTTTTTGTTCATGTGGTACATTGGTGAAGATTGTGGTTGGGACAACAGAACTGTGTGTGGAATCACACCAGTAGATTTGTATCATATAAAGTATTACAGGATGACTTAATAATTTGGTGTATGTAAAGAGCAATTTTACTTAATGTCTGTTCAGTGTAAATTATGCATAGTAGCAAAATTCTAATGTGATATGCTGAGTTTTAACTGGAAGGGAAGAATTATCAGAAAGACAAATGTTAATGCTGGAGTCTAACAAGTTGAATATATTCATGTTTTTCAGTTAACTTTGAGGCTTTAATTATTGCCATAGCTGTAGTAGCTGGACTCATTCTGGTGTCCATAACAGTCTGTTGCTGTTACTGCTGTTACTGCAGAAGGCGTTCCAGGAGGTAAATGCATGTATTTATTTCCTTTACTAACTTTGGGTACTGGTACTACAATTCTTACTCTCCAATATACTAAGAATCTTTTCATTTGGAAGCAATTTTGGTCACTTCATTTTATTTGTTTGAGAGACAAAAGGTGTTTAGTGACAGGCAGTATCAGTAAAAATGATGCTGGAATGACACTTGAAGTGATGTTATTAGTGGTAGCATCACAGATGCGTTCTCCAAGTAAGCTATTGCTTTGCACTTTTACATTTTGCACTTATTTCATGTCCAATCTTAATAAAGATTGATAAACATGAAATAAATGCCTGCTTCTTGTGATAACAGAGTAAATGATTTCTCTCAAGGCGAGCTTGTGGTACAGGAAAAAGGGACTGGGTGGGTAACAAGTGTCTGAGCAACAATGTCCTAGAGCACTTGGTGTCGATGCTACAGAGTTTGCTCTAGGATCTGTCAGCAGTTGGTATCAAAGTGATTAGTTGTATTTGCCAATTCAACAAAATATTCTAAATGTAAGATGATACTTTTTGCTCTAAGGTACCGGAGTGACTGATTTATTTTCAGGTAAAGTAATACTGCAAAAATTAAGTGTTCGTTATGATCAGTGCTTATTCCCTAACGAAACACCTGGAAAGCCTTGTTTATTGGGACGGCACAATGTGCTTCCTTTTGTCACTGAAGCTTTAGAGCGCAAGCTTCTGGGCAGTTTAGTTTCAGCTAGCTCCTTTTGTCCTTCAGTACTTACCACTTGAACAAAATGTGGACCTTATTTTGTGATATGAAATAATTTCCATATACTATTTCAGTATCTGTAATTCATTGTTCTCGTTTGTGGATTATTTTTTTTTTAAATTATGCACTGTACAGTGTTTAGTGCTGACCTTCAAGCCAGAGAAATATGATACATGTGTGGCTTTCAAAAAAGGGGAAAACTGTGAATAACATAACACTTTTTTTTTTTTTTCCCTGAGGAGGGTGCATGCACCTGTACTGCTGGTGGATTGGACTAAGAAATCTGTTCTAGTGCAGAATTTGATAACTCTTTAGCCCTGTGCTGATAAGCCCTGAAGATGTATAGAACTGTTTTAGATTTTATGTAAGATCTGCCAGCTGCCTCTGCAGAGGAACTGTGTAGGCCCCTGTGGCTGACATGCCAACAAATAAAGCTTGATTCCTGTCAAAAGAGAGATTTGTGCCAGACTTCAGTTTCAGTAGCTAAGTCGTCAATCAGTGCTGTAACATCTAATTCTAAACGTAGAAGGTTAGTTGAGAGTCCTCTTATGCCAGAACCCCAAAGGTGTCAAGCTTAATCTTCTGACACTCAGAGGATTTAAAGATCTTATCAGAGTGGGCTCCAGCTTGTTTCAGGAGGATTCAGAATGTATTATTACACTGAAACCTGATATATTGCTGGTTTTAAACCCACTCATTCTCAGCAGGAATTATTTTGCTATATTCCTTCTCAGTCTGGGGACTCCTTTTCTATAAAAGAAACTTTTTTACTGAATTGGAAGAAGGAAAATTTGTCGAAATGTAATAGATCTGCTTTACTGACCTGTTAGATGTATCGTCCCAGATCTCATGTGTAACCTTTCTTTGCAGAAGCATCAGCAGTCTGGGAATTTTTAAGCTGTGGGCTTTCAGTGTTTAAGAAGCCAGCACTTATCTTTTCCTTGAACCCAGAGAATACTTAGGTGCATTAATCCTGCCATTGTATGGTGTAGGTGGCTCACCTGAGTCCATCCCTACCACAGGAATCCTAGGACTATTGGTGCGTTGTTTCAGTTCATTGTTTTTATCCTGTGTTTGCACTTGGGAGTCTGGTTCCGTGTACTTGAGATAAAGACAGTCTATTTAGTATAGTTTTAACTTTTTCAGTTTAACAACCGCTCTGTAAAATTTTATAATTTCAGACTGTCTGAATTTTGAGGAAAAAACTCAATTCCTTCAGAGTGTCTAGAAATCAGAAGATACTTACTGCTTCTTTTAATTACAGAGAAGAAATATATTTTCTGAATCCTATACCAGTGTTTTATTGACTTGATGGGTCAGCGTGAAGTAAAACTATTGCAGAGTTATAAGAAACTGGGGTCTCCTTTAAAGTAGTTTTACAGAAGGATGCCCAGGAATGGGGTCCATCTGTCAGAGAAGGGGAAGAGCATCTTTTGTTCGTAGGCTTGTCAAGCTGGTGAAGAGGGGCTTTAAACTAAAATTGCTGGTGGAGAGGAGCTTCAATTCATCCCACTCCTACTAGTTTGATGCCAGTAATAGATACCCAGAGCCTGGAGAAGGATCACAGAGGGCACCTGGAGTGCAGAATAAAGGAATTCCAGCCAGTGAGACAGCTTCATTGAGGGCCCAGCTTAAATGCCTCTTTGTAAAGGCATGTAGCATGGGCAATAAACAAGAGGTGTTAGAGACATGCACACAGCTGCAGAGCTGTGATCTTATTGGCATTATGGAGATGTGGTGGGATGGCTCCTATGACTGGAGTGTTGGAATGGAAGGATATGGGCTTTTTAGGAAGAACAGGGAGGGGAGACAAGGAGTGTGTTGCTGTCTGTCAGTGGCCAGCTCAGTGCATGGACCTTCACCTGGGGATGGATGAGGAGCCGACCCAGAGCTTACGGGTCGGGATTAAAGGGAGGGCAGGGACAGGTGACATCATGGTAAAGGCCACCTGACCAGGAAGGCTGAGCAGATGAGGCCCTCTATAGACAGACAGGAGCATCATGTTCACAAGCCCTCATCCTCATGGGGAACTTCTAATATCTGTTGGAGGGACAACAAAGCACGACATGAGCAATCCAGGAGGTGCCTGGAGTGCCTTGATGAGAACTTACTTATCTAAATGATGGAGGAGCCAATGAGGAGAGGTGCTATGCTGGACCTTGTTCTCACCACCAAGGAGGGGCTGGTGGGGAGCGTGAAGCTCAAGGGCAGCCTTGGCTGCAGTGACCATGAAATGGTGGAGTTTGAGATCCTTAGGGCAGTGATTAGGAGAGATGGGGAGGGGCTCTTTTTCTGGGACTGGAGTGATAGGACAAAGAGTAATGGTTTTAAACTGAAAGAGGAGAGATTTAGATTAGATAAGAGAAAGAAATTCTTCATTATGAGTGTGGTGAGCCACTGGAACAGGTTGCCCAGAGAAGTTGTGGATGCCCCATCCCTGGAAGTGTTCAAGGCCAGGCTGGACAGGGCTTTGAGCAACCTGGGCTGGTGGGAGGGTTGGGGCAGGGGGGGTGGAACTGGATGATCTTAAGGTCCCTTCCAACCCAAACCGTTCTATGAAGTAGAAAATTTGTATGGGTTCTGTCTTACTGAGTTGTATTTAAATGACTAAGATATTCAAAGACGTGTATGCAGTGATTGAGCAGGTGGAAAAACTGAGTTCAGGTTTCCATTTCTAGTGTCTGAACATTGTTGTTACAACACCTGACATGCTGTCATTAACCACTGGGTGTCACTCTTGCTTAACTTGTGTGCTGGCTGCTGCAGACGTGTGGTACTGTAGCTATCCGTTTCTTTATTAGCAGGTGTGTTGATATGAATATTTACAATATTAAACATCTCCAGGTAGAGCATACAGTTTTGAAAAATTATTTGGTTGCTGCCGATGTGTGGTACTGTAGCTGTTTCTCTGTTAGCAGGTGTGTTGATACGAATATTTACAATATTAAACATCTTCAGGTAGAGCATACAGTTTTGAAAAATTATTAGCACAATTAGCTGCCTGGAAAAGCGTAGCAGGTGTCCATTGTTTAATCCTGAAGAATTGTCATTAATTCTGCTAGAAAAAATAACGGACAAGTAAATATTGTTTGGCATTTGCTTTAGAGTTCTACAATTATTATGTGGTCTATCTAATAGTAAAGTGAGACCGAGCTTCCTTCCAGGCGTGTCACAAAGCTGAGGTGCCTGCATTCAGTAGAGCGTATCTGCACAGGCACAGCTGGGATGTACTGTGTGGGCTCAGCGTTCCCCAGTCACACAGCTGATGCACTCCAGTAAATCCTTGCTCACTCCAGAACAGGGAAGGCAGCTGCCAAGACAGTTCATGTGGACTCCTTTCCTGGGGGCAACTTGAGATTGGATAGTGATGGTTGTTGGAAAGATAAATTGTTCTGACATCAAAGGCTTATGAACCATCAATCTTCTTCCAGGGCACAACAATGGACTTAACTGTGCATGTGCAGTATTCTTTATTCTGAAATGGGGTGTGACAAGGGGTAAATGGCAAGTAGGAGTCCTGCTTCTGGAGCAGTCTGCAACCTGTTGCTACGAGGCTTTAAATTGTCCTGTGGAGTCTGAAGGGCACATTGTTACAGTGGCTGAAGCATTTAGCTATTATAAAAGGCGAAAGGGTAATTCTACAAATTTGTCACTTATTCAGCAATGAAATTTTACGTGCCTGTGAAAAAATATCTCAGATCAGACTATAAATCCTTTTTTGAAAATAAGTCAACTGACTAAAGGATGATTGCCTGCCACTGCAATTATTATTCCTCCTCTTCTGCTTTCTTTCCCTCCTTGTGTTTCTAGTAGACCAGATGAAGAAGAAGAACGGCTAGCTAGAAAGAGAGAGGAACAAAGACTACAGTCTCTTCAGAGGTAAGTCTTGACAGCTTGATACATAGCAATACACTTCCTGGTGGTATAGGAGTATTTTGCCCTTCTGAGTAATACAAAGTAATACAAAAAGAGGCATTATGGAGTTAGGCATGACAATGTCAATTTTTTTACAAGAAGGTGCTTATTGTGAGATTTGTGAACCGATTAGGAGCCTGTATCTCCCTAAGTGAGCAGGGAGTCAGTACGTTGATGCTCAGTGTGGTAGATAGAAGTGCTCTGTGCCAGCCAAGAGCACATGGAAGGGATGTGGCTGAAGCCTTTCCTAGTCTCTCCTGGACTGATGCTTAGACAAGCAGTGGCATGAGTTAATGATTAAGTGAGGGTGGGATTCAGAGGTGAATTTGATTCATCTGGTAACTGGTTCTTTTAAAGTCTGGCTTGGAAGGGTAGAGAAATTGATAGTGAGATACCTGTTAGAAATTTTGCTCAGGAAAAGGAGAACTTTGGCTCAGATCTCCCTTTAGACTTAATCCCATATTCCCATCCTCTTTATTAAAGCTGCAATACAGCTGTAGAAAGAAGTACAGGAGTCAGCAGCGATACAGTGCTTCTCGGAACAGCATTCCTTCAGGTGTAGGTTTTTATAGCTTGCTTCTTCAGTTACTCTTCATGGTTTTTATATTATTCTTTAGATAAAGAATAGAATTAGTTATATATATATAATATTAATAATATAATATATTAATAATAATATATAATCTAATAGTATTTAGATAATTTTTGTAGGTAGGACCGTGATGTCCCATGTACCTTTTGAATCATACTTCCTTTCCTGGTCTATATTTTGGATGTTCACAGTGGTTTAGCTTCAGCAAGACAAGAGGACAGTCCTAACTAAACTAATACTAGGCTTAAAGTTGTCAGATGTGGTTTTGAATCCCCAAAGTCTGATAAGGAAATTGATCTTAGGTTTGATACTTCGTGGCTAATGGTTTCTAAATACTCAGCTGCCAAGTAACAGGTGGGCACCTTCACTGGTGCCTGCTATTTTCTCCTGAACTCAGATTCATTGTTAATATGAGCAGGGACTGTGGGGAGCAAAGCCTACTTCCAAATAAGACCCCTTGTGGAGCTTTTGCATGAAGACATTAAGTTTCTCTATTACAAATGTGCATAAGATGACAGGGTAGGTAGGGAAATATGCTTGGTTTGCTCAAACATGTCACATTTCTGACTGGGCACAAAAGCAGGAGCCAATAAGGTTCTCTTACAGATATGCCTGCTGTCACTCGTGTCTCTGGCAGGGGCTGTGAGAATCACTCTGAACTCCATGCAAATCTGGTTTCTGGTCCTGAACTGCCAGGTTATACAAGCAAATGCAGCAACTGTTTGCCCTGAATCTGACAATGGTTACGGCTCTGAAGTAGGTGCTGTGATATTAGGAAGCAGACTAGATTCTGTGGTTATGGGTTAAATCGAAATTTTCTTTAGCCTTGTACAGAATTCCTAAACCTGTTGGCAATAGAGAATTAGGATACAATGGGGACATTTAACAAGAAAATTTCTCAGAGCTTGACTTAGTGCAAAGCTTGAGTAGTTAGTTTTGTTTCTGTGACTGCAATTTGTTAGAGCTATTGCATACTAGCAGTTTAATATGGCTATTTCAGTTTTCTACTGGCTGTATAATGCAGTCTAGTAGCTTTTAAACTTTAAATTTAAACTTAACAAATTTTCTTTGTTCTGCACAAATTTTATTCTTAACAGCACAGACTCACTGTTGCAGTAATGTGTATTCTGCACTTGTTTAGGAAAGTACAACTTTTTGCAGAGGGAAGATGAAAATTCAGTTGTCTCCTAGTGTAGTGGAGCTAGAATTACTCTTTTGAAAATGTTTATGTTTAAGTGTAATGGTGCCACTAATTTAACCCTACTTTTGGTGTAACGCTGAGCTGCTGATGGCAAGAGCATTCTTACTTTTCTTTCGTGCCCAAGGCACAAGCATTGACCTTGTGTCTGTCTGGGTTTTTCTGGTTTTTGGTTTTTTCCTCTATGGGATACAGCTTCTTCGTGTACAGCTAGCTGTCCAGATGAGTTGGTGATGGACGGATAAGAGGACTAGTCTAAGCTTCATTTCATGGTTCCGTTAGTGAATGGTGAAAACAAAGTAAGGAGCCCCAAGTTGCATAGTGTGTGATTAATGCAACCATGAAGGTAATTGCAGCACCTAACTTTTTTTTTTTTTTGTCTTATTGGGCACACAATTAAATGTCTGCCTTGTAAATTTAAAATTTGTTTGTGTTAAGTATCTGTAATAAACTGAATTTTAGGAAGTGACATTCTGGAGTCCCTAAATGGCTGTTAGAATGCAGAGTAAGGATAATGACATTGCCCTCTGCTTGTCTTCAAAAGGAGGAAACTAGCTGTCACGTCACCAAGGTTGAAAATCACTGCTCATACATAGAGTTTGCATTTACAGTGAGGGGAGGGAATCCTGGAGTTCAGCTTTAGACTAAAAATACTGAAAGAAAACAAGTATCGTACTGCACAGCTTTAGTCCTTTATTTGACTTCATGTCATCTCTAACATGAAAAATAATTTTTAAACACAGCGTCAAGTAGTGAGTCTGTCAGCACACTCATATAAGTATTTACTGATGCAAATACATGCCACATTTATGTGTTAAATTTATGTAATTTATAAATAATGATATAAATATGTTAGAAGTTGATAAGCCAGTGAAAAGCAATGAGGTCTTGATTGAGATAAACTGGCAAGTTACAATTTGGTAGTGAAATGGTAAGGGAGAAGAAGAGCGGGGGCAAAGAAAGAAAGGATTGCAGTTCACTTGTGAAGAACCAAGTATGGAAAATCATGTGAATTGCTAGTATTAGGAAAAATACATCCTTGGCTTACAGCAGCAGGAACAACTTGGCATGGAGAGCCAAGAGTTTAGTGTACAGAAGATGGAATAATAGCAGTAGTATTAAGAAACAGAACTAAGGCAGAAGGCTGTAAAGTGACTTCAGTGGATCATACTGTAAGATGTGACCAGCGCAGCAAACCATCTCTGGGTGGGTGGCTCAGGGACTGCCTGGTCAGGAACGGGCCTGTTCTCCTTTGGTGTATAGCTGAGCCTTATTTACTGTACAGGGATTTAGCCGTGGGTGATGTGATATGATGTAGTTGTGGCCATCTGTCAAAATTCAAATGTTTTGCAAATATTAATGGTTTTACCCTTCAAACTTAAACAATCTAAGAATTTTAGATATTTGGTGGTTTTTGTTTTGAATAGTCTAGGGAGGTATTCTAAACTGTTTCTGAAGCTTAAGGCCTACACAGACTGATTTGATTTGAATTTTTTTTTCCCCACCCCCTTACCCTTTTTATGCAGATACTTAGTGCTTTCTGTGTTTAGGGCAGATTCAGACTGACTGCTAAAATAATGAGATTTTAGTTGAAACTGCAGCAGTGAGCCTCCAATATTTTAGATAGGGTATACAGAACAGTGAAAAACATGCCATCGATACCACCAGTTAAAAAAACAAACTGGTTTGACGTCACAGTGTCTCATGGAAACTGTAGGGAAATAAGGACTAACTTTATATAGGGGAAGGCTGCTTTAAGCAGAATCTCTCTATTTGCTTTCTGAGACTCCTTGCCTCATATAATGTCTTTCTCTTATGCAACACAGAAAGCAGGAGTCCCGTGGGCAGGTCAGGTGGGTGAACTTGACTCCCCTTCCTGTCCTTTTCAGCCTCTCAGTCCTGACTTTCCTCCTCTACATGAATTTCATTTCGTTCACCCTGATTCCTCAGTTCCTCCTCCTGCAGTTTGGCCAGGTGGCTTTATTTCCTATGCTGCCTGGGCTGAAAATAGTGTAAAGGGATATAAGGGAGATAGATATCCAGGGAAATAGCAGTGGAAGGTTTTGAGTCAGTCTTATTTGATTTTCCCATCATGCTTTATCTGCATGCTTTCCAGAAGTGCAGTAGCAGAGAAAGGCCAGTTCAGCCCTTCAGCTCTGTAGGAAGCCAGGTAATTGCTTCTGAGGATACACAGGATTTGATTAGAAGCAAATTAGAATTGTTTGGAGGTGGAATATGCAAAGGGCAGGTGGGTGCTTTGGTGCATTAAGCTGTCAGTGCTTAAAAGCTTTCTGCTGAATATGTGCAAATTAGAATCAGGTGGAAGTCAAAACTTGTTTAACTGGTTGAATTTTGATAGATGTATTTTTTTTAGAGGAACACTGTTTTGCCAAACCTTATGTCCTTTCCTCAAAATATATAGATTCTGGATCATCCTAGTGAAATGACTGTATGAACTTCTTTTGTTTGCTTTTAAACTAAGCAAAATAGGTGTTTCCTTTGTTGAAATATAGGAAAATTTTCCTATGAATGATGGAATGATTTCTATTTAAACTTCTTTCACCTTTGCAAAGTGGAGGGGAGGAAGGGGAAGAAGAAATTGACTTGTCAGACACTTGTTTTATGTGAATAATTAAAGTTTGGCAACATTAGATAGTCTTGAAAACTGTTGTATGATTAGACAGCATAATTAGAGGCATCCGATTTTTATACAGCACAGTATTTTAATTTATCCTCTGCATGGATACCATGCTGGATTTTAGTAGTTTTCACTTGCTGTACTGCTTAAACAAAACAGTAATACACCTTTTATCTTTTTAGAATTATTATATTGAACTAGGATTCTGAAGCACACTTTATTCACTGCTAAATTTTTGCAGTTCACTGCTGGAAAGCAGTATGGAATCTTCCAATGTAGCACCTTGCTTATGTATAGCTGAATAACTCAGTATGTGTACGTGTACATACTGAGTTATTATGTAGAAGGACATACGTACTTCAATATAGAAAAAAATATTTTTCTTTATACTTGCAAATATGCCTTATTTTGACATTATTGATTAGTGAGAAATTATAGGGAGTCTTATAGATACATAAAGTATATATAGAAAGATAAGATATATAACTGGTTACGTGATTTTTTTTTAAATTTGTAATTGCATACTAATTTAAAAACTGCTGTCGTCTCAGATGTAATTATTGTATTTTGCTTATAGCTCAAAACAGTCTAAATATTCTTCTCATGCCTTTATTTTTTGCAGGAAACATGAAAGAAAAATGAAGCATGATGAAATACGTAAGAAGTATGGTATGTGATAATCCTGTTCTGATACTCAATATCTAAATTGATTCCTTTTTCCTAATTATTATTAAAATTCACAGCAGGAACAAGCTACTTTATCAGCAGCAGAAGTAATCAAGCCCAGTTTAATACTGATGCATGTCTTCTGTCACCTAGATGCCTGATCTCATCAATATTGTGCTCCAGTTTTCTTCCTGCACTGACTCTCCCAGTGGGCAAGAGACAATGTGCTGGGTGGGGTGTGCAATATATTGATTAAAATAAGTAGTTCTTTCTGTCTCTTCCTAAGTAAGAGCACTGATTTATTTTATTTTTTGGGAGGAGAGCAGGGAGGAGAGGTATGTTTGTTCTTGAACTTGATAAACCAATCTAGTTGAAATTGGCTAGTAGACTCATGGTTATTGAGGGAGGATAGACTGATTACCGGATAGTAAGCTTTTTAAATCAAGCTTAAAAAAGATGGATGGAGGACTCAGCCTAATGTAGGGATTTAAAAGGTTGTTTTTTCTTTGTTTTTAAGTGAACTGTTGTCCAGTAGGAGAAGCGTATCACAAGACTGTGGACCTGCTGTGTCGTATAGGAGGCTTTATCTAGGCTTGTCAGTGCTTCACATTTCATTTCAGAGAGTTAATAGTACTGTGTATTCAGAGACAGATATGCTAAAACTATGCTGCACTTTTTATTATGCAAATTGCACCAATGTCAGAGAAGGTGATTCTAGGGGTCTGAACAGTCACTCAAAACCGTTAATTTTCATCCTCTTGTTAAACTGATTGGCAGAGTCTGGGAATGCCTTCGTGAGTCTGCAGCCTGCCCTTTGGCTGATGCAGAAGTGATACAGACAATCTCTGCAGGGAATTCTCTGCCTGGGGAATATTTGCAAAAGCCTGTTCCTTGCTGGAATGGAGGAAAATTCAGTGTGAAGCTTGAGCTGCAGGAGGAAGAATGATGTAGAAACTACAATTAATTTTTGTTAAACATCAGTCATGAAATTTAGTCTTGTGGTATTTTATAGGATAATTGACCCTGTATCCCAACAATGGGTCAGTTTCAAGAGGTTTATATGAAAGGTTGACAACAGTAGTCCAGATTTTTAAAAAAAAACAAACAACAACAACAAAATCCAAACAACAACATAAAACACCACACACATTTTTGTGTTTGTTTCGCCACACAGAAGAGACAATCTCAACAAGTTTGAATCCTTGGGACAGATTTGGTGAATAATTTAAGATGATGGCTATGTCTTAAAAAAGCCATGCAGCACTTTGTAGAGGTATGCATATAACTTTGCATGTCCTTGAGGCAGCGCAGCCAGGAGAGGTTGGATTCAGCAGAGCAGTCAGTGTGTCAAAGCACCGCTTTGGGTTACATTAGGTGATGTTTCTAAAGGCGGTGTTATGGACTACTTCTGAAACTGGTTCATTCTTCTCTGGATGGTCCTACATTTTAGTGAAGACACTTCTCTCTCTTCAGTGCGTAACTTTGAGACCTTTGCAGAATGCTTTGTTGGATCTTGTTGGAGTACTTGAGTTACCTGAGGAATATAACTGTAACTCTGCCTCTGGAATACATACACCAAGTTCAACAAGTCTTGCTTGTAGCTATAGTATGCACACAGTCATATGAGAGCTAGTGTCATTTTGCCTTCATTTGAAGGGGGTAAGTCTGTCAAGAACTTAATTAGAACGAAGTTCATACATGGATTGTGTTAATGGAAGGCATACGTTCTTACAAGGAGTGAGGCATATTCATTTCTTCATGCAGTTATGCTTTGCAATGCAGTTTATTCATAAAAGATCATAATTCAACTATAAAATTTAAATTTCAATAGCAAACTTCTATATAAAGTTTGTTTATTGACAGATTTGCTTCGTTGCGTACTCAAAGATTAATTTATATTATCAGATATACCAATTTGGGGCCTGGATTCTCATAATTCGTTTTTGTCCAAAAGAAAAACCTCACTCTTACAAGAATAGTTGGCACATACTGAAAGGGTCTACGTAAAACTGAGGGAAAAATGAAAGACAGAATATGTATAAATTCTGAAATACCTAAATATTATTGCTAGTGTATATAGTTTATATTCTGATAACATACAGACAAATGGTTGTCAAAATAATTCAGTGAGACACAATAGACTAAGTCTTGCTATAGCCTTGGATCGTCTGTCTTCATTTTTCACTGTGTAGTAAATACATGTGTTAGCATATTAAATATAACCTAATAAAAATTGCTGGAAATAATTATGGAGACACTAGATTATTTTACTGTTAGGCACTGCCAGGAGGATTCTTAGTTAAGTAGGCGTGGATGAATGGCAGAGTGACAATGACTTTGTTAACCTGACTCTGTAGATTAAGATGATCATGCCTGAAATTTCAGTATTTGGTTGGCTTTAAGGGAATGTCTTTTCCCATTTAATCCACCAGCTTTCCTTACCCCATTTAAATGGTAATTACACATTTATAATGCATTGCAGGTGTCACTCTAGCAACAGTCCTTTGGGAGCATTGGAAGCAATAGAGAGCTTTAGCAACCAGGAATACACACTTTGAATTGTTTCTTTGTTGTACAATTTGATAGTATTTTTCATTTGCTCACATATATGAATGCCATATGATTACACAAATTATATGTTGACTGTTAGAAAAATTTAAAGTAGAATTCAGAGTACTTCTGCAGCTTGTCTGGTATACAAAGGAACTACAATTTAATTGCTGCTGCATTTGCTGCTATTGTATGTTCAGTATTTTGTTAGTGAGAAGCTGCTTTATTTATTTATTTCAGGATTTTGCCTGGTATTACTGAAAGGATTATATCCCTTTATTTTTACAAAATTATTGCCTTTCATGATTTTAGGCTTCCACATCACTTGCTTCAGTTGTGCAAAGGTTTTGATTAGCTAATTTAACAATATGTAATCCTATTTCCTTTATTTTATTTGACTTTTTATATTCAGTAGTTTGTCACAGTAAGTGTTCCTTCTGTTCGAGATCGATACTTTATCTTGATCATCTTTAGTGTTCTGAATGCAAAGCAGGGAAATCTTCTATTCCTGTACACTTAAAGCTATTTAGTTTGTCTAAGAATAAAGTTGTTAAAAATACAGAGGAAAAGTGTAATAAGGGGTGAAGACATGCAGCAAACTAGTTCATTTTTTCCACTGTATACAGTCTGTTGTAAGTATTTCACTTGTTAATTCTATTTTTGGGAAGTGCTGGTATGTGACGAGAGTCAGATATCAATGACTGAGAAGCTGCATAGTATATAATATAAATGAACATGGTGGAAAGAGGTATTAATTTCTTAAAATTGCTTTGTTGTTTCACACATCTTAAGAGGCCTCATTACTTACAAGCTGATGAAAGATACTTCACTACTATGCCTTTCAAATTTTGAAGTGTTTCTTAAATACTGCTAAGTAGGTCAAATACTGACCTCAAAATGAAGGTAAATAGAAGTAAGATGTTAGAAGTTCTCGTAAGTGTCCTTTGTGTCAATATTCAAGTTCAGCAGTAATGTGTAATGGACTTTGCGGGTTCAGGAATCTTGTTTGCAATAAGCATCTAGTGTCTCTGAACCTGTAAGTGTAAATTACAGTTGGGTAGTCTCTCTCATGTCAAATAGGAAGCAGTTGAGAGAGACAACTCATGTCTGGTTCAAGGCAGCACATCAGCTTTAGTTGAAGCAGACACACTGTGTGATTAGCATAGGCTTGCATCTCCTCTCTGTCCTGGCTAAGAGCAACCCTGGCAGCTGGCAGGAGGTTTCTGTTGGACTCTTTTTTTTGATTGTTTTTGTCTACACGTTGGAGCCTGATCCAACTTCTTCAGTAAGAATTGGTGCAAGTGATGTGCAAGTGTCTCCCTCCTCTCATCTTAAGATGTACTTGAAATGCTGAGGATAAAAGAAATTTAAACACTGGATGCAGATCTGAGAGCAAGACTGAGAGCATGGTCTGTCAGATACTGTAACCTCTGGTTCTCCTCATTTGGAAGGAGGACTTGCATTTCTCTTCAAGTACCTTCTTTCCCGGGAGATGAATTTGTAAAGTCACAACCAATAATACTCACACTGGATTGGCCTCTAGTTCTTAAGGCCTGTTTAGTTTCAGTATTGTACAATGAAACAGGTTGGAAACCTTCAAGTTAAAACATACTAATGCCTGATTGTTGGCAATCATACTAATGCCTGAATAATTTGGAATTGGCACTACTGGATGTAGAACATCGTTTCTGTTGGGTTTCAGCTGTTTAAGCTGTACGAGAACAGTGTTTAGTGTTTTACTGTGCTACTTCCATACTTATGAAGTGTCGAGTATGTGTCTTGAATGAAGTATTAGAAAGGCATAATAAGCACTTGCCAGACAATATAGAGAGAAGTGTGCAAGCTAAGGAGATGTTGTCAGGGAAGCTGGTACCACCTCTTGCCACTTTAAGGAAAAAATTTTGAAGTTTGGTGCCTTGGTTTCGAAGTGAAACTTAATGCAATGCCAGTTGTAATACAAATTAATTTCTGCTACTGTTGCCAATTTTCTGTCAATGTTGTGTAGATGTCCTTTGCATTTGGAAGGGGTGAAATACAGAAGTACTGCAAAAAAATTTTGAGAACTGGGCTACACAGTTGTCTTTCAGGTAACTAAATATATCAGGATCCATATATCTTAGCTGCCAAGGTATTAACGAGTTTGGAGGAAGGAGGCTGGGGTGGTGGTCTGGAAATACAGTAAATGTTTCTCCTTTGTATTCATGTTGGGATTATATTAATGCAGGAATGTTACCTGAAGGCACTAAAGGTGGAATGGTAGGCCTAGGATAAGAGCTTTTTTTATTGTGTGTTGTCTTGCTTGTCAGCTAGAGTAGACTTAATAGACATTACAACTTTTTGTTTAAATGCATGAAAGGTAAGATTGAAATTTGACAAGTAACTGCTTTCTAGAAGTTTAAAAATACAAAAATTTAAAGATCTCAAATATTGTAGATAATTCTTGATAATGCTGTCATCTAACAGCATTGTTAGGTGCTGCTATTCTTTGCATTCTTGCATTCTTATTGCACAAATGCTTAAAAGATTTATTTTATTTTTTTTAAGAGTTACAGAAGGGGGTGGTACATTGGATGGAAGCTACTGTACCAAGTAAATAGACTGTGTTTTGTGTTACCGCCTGAAGCTTTATAAATGTGACTGGCTTACTTATTCTTTGACAAGTAAAGGCCATTATGTACGAGGGCTGGTTTTCATTTTAACCTACAACGTGACTGCTTGTAATCTTGAGTAATTATAGGAAATTGTTTTTATACCTATTCCTTAATACTTGTTGTTCCATATCAGGTAGTTGGTTGTGCTTACTAATAAAATAATCAGCACTAAGCAGTTCTGCTTCTTGATTGACATCTTAAAATAGCCTGGCAACAAAGTAGACTGCCTTCAGTGTCACTAGCTTTTGGCTTTCATATAGAACAGTGAGTATTTGGTATCTGTGTGCAGGAGCACAGGAAAAGAGGTCTGGTATGAAAAGGTCTGAGGGGAGTTCTGTGGGCAGTAATCTTTCTCTTCCACTATTGTGAATCTGCACATTTGTGAATTGGGGTTGTTTGGCTTAGCTGTTTTCTGTCTCCATGCCCTAAACAAATGAGCTGGAGAAGAGTCATAGAATCATGGAATCATAGAATTGTCTAGGTTGGAAGAGACCTTTAAGATCATTTGGTCCAACCATCAACCTAACTCTGATAAAAACAAAAAAACCCTCACTAAACCATGTCTCTAAGCACTATGTCAACCCATCTTTTGAACACCTCCAGGGATGGTGCCTTATCTGCTTCCCTGGGCAGCCCATTCCAAGGCTTAATAACCCTTTCAGTGTAAAAATGTTTCCTAATATCCAGCCTGAACCTCCCCTGGTGCAGCTTGAGGCCATTTCCTCTTGTCCCATCACTTGGGAGAAGAGACCGACCCCCGCGTCTCTACAGCCTCCTTTCAGGGAGTTGCAGAGAGCGGTACGTCCAGGCTTGCCAGATCTCAGTATAAAAATCTTGGTGGAAAAGACAGCGGAAGTGTTCCTGTTCTTTCACAACAAAAGGTCTGATGTGTGGTTTAAAGTCTCTTTGAAGTAATTGCTGTCTGGAATAGCGATTGCTCAACTAACCCTTATAGAAGATGATATGCATATCCAGACAGTATAATTGGATGATTTTGTAATGCTTTCTGTGACAGTATTCTGGTAAAATCATTAAGAATCTTCACGATGGAAATGTACTGCAACCTGGATTAAGTGATGTTCTTGTTCTGGTCCCCCCGAGGTTTTAGTGCATGTAGAAGTGAGCTTCATTTGTTCTTAGACATGATTGTCCTGCTGCAGAAATGCTGTAAGTGGCTGAGTGTGACAGATGTTGTGTATAATCGAAGTAGAACTAAGTCAAAGTAGCAGCATCTTACATTTTAAAAGGATGATGATATTATAATAACTTCCATTTATAAACTGGCCACTCTGAATCTGTTCTTCCTGAGCCGTCTCTATACTTAGATTTTCGTAGACTTGACTCTCAGAAATGCATTTTGCAGGGTATACTTCACAAATGAGAAATGTTTTTTCTGCAAGAATTTTTCATAAGGAAATGTTCTTTCCCTGCTAAATCATGAAATATTTATGATAATAGTCTGAGAAATAAGTGCTGAATAACACTATAAATTTATTATTATACTTGAGCATTTGGGTAATAAGGCAACTGTTATAAGGAACAAAACCAGTGAGGTCAGTAACTCAAGGTTTTTATGTGATATTGGTAAGAAAATGATAAATACAGTCCTGTTTTGTTTTACAGGTCTTCTCCAGGATTCTGATAATCCATACAGCAGACTTGAAAATGAATAAATCTGAGGACGTTCCACTAGAGCTGTAATTGCAGAATACAGAAAGATAGTTTGTCTTTATTTGCCTTTTGCTTGTTTTTTCCCCAAAGATATTTTTTCCGCATTGTAAAACTATGAGTGGGTAAAGACTTCATGAAATAAATGTTTCTATCTTCTTCTACCTATATAGAACTAATTTTTCATAAATGCTTTTTTAGTTGTTGAAATATCTGCTGATATTTTTTTTTCACGGTGATGTTTAAGTGTAAAGCAGTATCATTCCTTCTCTTAAAACTGTATTTTGTTACTTGATGTAGATGGCAAGTCACAATCATACGTTTGAATTCAGTATTAACTGCCACTTAAACAGTTATTCCCATGTTCCTGAGTAAAGATTTTTTTTTCCTAGTTTATCTTCTTTTATAAAAATAGAAAGCAATATGGAAGCACAGTTTCACACAGCTGAAATAACTGATGTTGCTATTGATGAGAAAATACACCAGGGAAATTTTTATGTACTACTAGAATGTGAGAATTGGGTGGAAAAAAAGATCTTCAAGACTGTTAAGTCTAAGGGTTAATGGGGTCTTTGAAACATTTAACTCAGTTGTGGAAATGTTGATATGTACTTTGTGTATATCACTGATGTCAGAAATTACTTCAGTTACCAAATTTGGAAGAAGGTCATTTTTGAAATAAATATTGTTATGTGTGCCTAAACTTAAGAAGAAATATCAGCCTGTGTGAACAATTTTTACTAAAAAACAACCAACGACCCACCAAAAACTCACTGTAGGGATTGTGCAGTTGAGCAGGCTCCCCTGGCCCGCAGGGAAGCACCACCCGGCTGCGTGTTCCCTCTCCCTGCGCTGGGACGAGGGGGATAATGGGAACAGCAGAAGCAGGAGAACTCCTGAGCTGTGATACAGACAATTTAATGTGGGAAGAAGAGGAGGGCAGGGGGAATAAGACATGCTGAGACAGTTGTCACCTGCTGGAAGCAGACCTCTGCCCACCCTCCCCATAGCTGTTGTTGCTGAGCGTGATCTTGCACGGCCCTTTGGCCAGCTGTAGCTGTCCCAGCTCCCTCCCCTCCCCGTGCTGGCGTGGGCAGTGGGGAGACGTGCAGCCCTGGTGCTGTGCAGGCGATGCTCCAGGAAAGCCAAGGCACTGATGTGTTACCAGTTCTGCTCCAGCCACAAATCCAAAGCAAAGCACCTTGTGGGCTGCCATGACGAAAGCTATCTCCATGCCAGCCAAACCTAGTACATACAGTAAGTAAGCAGTGATTTATTTTTTTTAGCTTTTATTGTTGGGTTTCTATTTCCTCTGCCTTTTCATAGAGGTCTCTCCTGGAGTGTTTTCACTAGCTTACTGTATGATGCAACACACACAGAGTTCTTCTCCCTCACCCCTCAGTGTGAGTTCAGTTCATTCTGTACAGTTTAAATAACCTCCCTTGCTGTATATTATCCGTTAAACAAATGTATATTATTGAAGATGTTCATCTTATTTTTACCAGTGTTCCCAAAATAAACACTTTAAGATCTTTATTTTGGTTCTCTTTAGTTCTGTTGTTCTGTACAATTTTAAATTAACTTGGTTTAGAAGTGATCAAGTATGAGTTTGGGAGGATGGAACGGATGCATTTTTGCTTCTGCTGGTTGTCTGACAGAAGAATAAAATCTTGGCATCGGTGTGGTGGGAATTAAATCTTGCCTGTGGGTGCTGAGGTGAATTGCCATTCCTCCCAGTGCCACAGAACCTGCCTCTGCTCAGGCTTTGGTAACTAACACTGTATCACTAATTTTGGTACAGTGTTCACTTCCATTCTTTCACTGGTTTTGCCTCTGTATGCAGTTTCTCAGGAATTTATATAAAAACGTTTCCTAGTTCCCTGGTCTGTATTGCAAAGAGTGTTCATGGAATAATAGTTGTGTTTCCTTTTCTCCTGAACTCCTATGTAGCACTTTATTAGTAGGCATTGTGTTTAATTTCATGTTTCTTCGTCTGTCAGCTGTTGTCAAGTCTGAAGTATTATTCAAATGGCTGTCTTTGAAGAGTGATGGTCTGTGATAAGAGTGAGTTGATAGTGTGGAAATAAAACATGCTGATGGTTTTCCCTGGAGATAACTTTTGCAAAAATGATGGAGCTCTGCCTGCTGTCTCACAGCCCAGGCAGTGACATTCCTGACTTCATAGAAAAGCATTTTTCTTCAGCACCTGCTACAGCACCTGAAGGGCTGTCACGCGTTCTAACAAAAGGCGGAGGAGGAACAACCTTTCTTACAATTTCAAGGTGGTAAAGTACTTGGAGAACCAAAATATTTTGAGACTATGGAATGTGTGCAGCATTGCTGGAGAATAGTTGTGTTTAAAGAGAAGGCTGAGTGAAACCAGTGAAGTCTTACACACTGTGTGTGTCACTTCTGAGCCACGGTTGTGGGTGTGAAAATGCAGCAACTGTGGTAAAATTTATCTTACCCAGGCTTACCACATATTAAGCCTTAACCTTGTAGTGTAGGCCATAATTTAAACAGAATGTCAAGCTGGACACCTATTAATGTATAATTTTTACTTGCACAGTTGAAGACAAGACTGTTAATTTAATGAGACTATTATAGACAGCAACCATAGAGCTTAATAGAAAATGCAAAAATCCCCAAACATTCCCTAGACGTTTCAGACTATTTGACTTTTTTTTTTGTTGTGTTTCTTGGAGCAATTAATTGGATGGAAAATACCTTTACTTCAGTATATTTATTGCAGCCTTCTCTGCTTTTCTGTATGTCGGTATTTCATTACAGAAATACTGGATTTGGCTTGTCAGTGGAAAGGTTGCTAGCCTTTTTATTTCGGTGTAGCCACAAGTAATTGGGTAAAAAAAAAAGTGTAGAAAGATGTAACATCATATCTTCAGTTCTCAGGTGTGAGAACAAAGGCATTTATCATTTACAGTATGAGCTTCCCCTCTTCCACAGTTTTTCTATAGAAGAGGTAGAAGGGACGCAACATAGAATCACAGAATGGTTAGAGTTGGAAGGGACCTTAAAAACCATCCAGCTCCAACCCCCCTGCCCTGGGCAGGGACACCTCCCACCAGACCAGGTTGCTCAAAGCCCCATCCAGCCTGGCCTTGAACCCCTCCAGGGATGGGGCAGCCACAGCTTCTCTGGCCAACCTCTTCCAGTGTCTCACCACCCTCACAGCAAAGAATTTCTGGTATCTAATCTAAATCTCCCCTCTTTCAGTTTAAAACCATTACCCCGTGTCCTGTCACTGCACTTCCTGACAGAGTCCCTCCCCAGCTCTCCTGTAGCCTTTTCAGATATTGAAAGGCTGCTCTAAGGTCTCCCTGGAGCCTTCTCTTCTCCAGGCTGAACAACCCCAGCTCTCTCTTCACAGCAGAGGTGCTCCAGCCCTCTGATCATCTTTGCGGCCCTCCTCTGGATCCATTCCAAACAGGTCCATGTCCTTCCTCCAGAGCTGGACACAGAGCTCCAGGTGGGGTCTCACCAGAGCAGAGGGGCAGAATCACCTCCTTTGCCCTGCTGGCCACACTTCTCTTGATGCAGCCCAGGATGGGGTTGGCTTTCTGGGCTGCCAGTGCACATTGTTGGGTCATGTTGAGTTTCTCATCTGCCAACACCCCCAGGTCCTCCTTAGGGCTGTTTTTCAGCCATTCTCTGCCCAACCTGTATTTGTGCTTGGGATTGCCACGTCCCAGGTGCAGGACCTTGTACTTGGCCTTGTTGAACTTCATGAGATTCACACCAGCCCACCTCTCCAGCCTGTCCAGGTCCCTCTGGATGGCATCCCTTCCCTCCAGCGTGTCAACTGTGCCACACAGTTTGGTGTAATCAGCAAACTTGCTGAGGGTGCACTCTATCCCACTGTCCATGTCTCCAACAAAGATGTTGAACAGCACTGGTCCCAGTATGGACCCCTGAGGAACACCACTCATTACTGGCTGCCAATCGGACATTGAGCCATTGACCACAACCCTTTGAGTGTGGCCATCCAGCCAGCTCCTTATCCACTGAATGGCCCATCCATCAAATCCATGACTTTCCAGTTTTGATACCAGGATGTCATGCAGCACAGTGTCAAAAATAATATAAAATATATATATATATCTAAAAAGAAGAAAGTAGGGAAACAGTGTAACTTAAGCCTGAGAGCCGTAATCTCTCTGCTAATCTGATTTTCTCAGAATTTCCTTTTATTAACACTGTATTTTCTCTTTCCTACTACTTTACACTTTTTATTTTAGTGGGTTTTGCTTGTTGGTTTTAGTAGTTAAGTACTATCTGAAAAGAACAATCTCAGAAATGAAAAAATGAAAACGTGTGTTTATCTTTCCACAGAACAGAACTTTTGGTACTGAAGATTCAAGTGGGTCAGCTTTGAGAGTAATGTTGCTGGGTCTAATTTCCTTATGTAAAGGTAAACGTAGTAGAGTGAAACATGCTGTTTTAGCTTATGCTGGATTGTACTTTTTGCTGCTTCTGAAATATTGGATTTGATGATGAATCCATTAAGTTGTCTGCACCATGTCTTGCTTAATTGTTATTTGATTATTAAGTAGGTGTATGGAAATAATTTTGAACGGTCAATTTTATGTTTGATTTTTTTTTCTTACAGTATGTTTGTTTCAGATTCCTGTACATAGTTTTAATCATCTAACCTTTCAAAAAATCAGTGTGCCACGCTGCAGTTTCTTATTACACTAAATCTGTGACTGAGGAGCACCTGATGTAGTTGAAGATGTCCCTGCTCGTCGTAGGGGAGGTAGACCCCCTAGGCGACCTTTAGAAGGCCTTTCCAACCCAAACCCTTCTATGATTCTCTAAGTGGCTCTGAACTGGCTGCCCGTGTCTTGCAACCCTGGGATGCCCCAACTGATGCCCCTTTCTCTAGCTTTGTAGCTGGTCCAAAAAGAAGTGGGAGAGACTCAGCCAGCGTTTTCTTCTTCCTTTCCTTCTGAGTGTCAGGGCCCTAACAGGAACAGGGTAACAGGGTGAAGAGGAAAAAAGGTACTTTGAGAGGCAATGCTGGGAAGATGATGAGGGCAGGAGTGGGAGACAGTGAGGTTGGCAGCAATTGCACCTGGCTGTGCCCCCAGTTCCTGCCTGTCTCTGGGCTTCATCACCTTCAGTTTAGGGCTCTCATCAGCAGCATCTCTGACTGCCCTGTGCTTCAAAGTGTGGATCAGGAGGTTAGGTGGGTGGATGCTTTTCAAGGCTCGCACATGCTCTCCTCTATCCTAACACAGCAGGCCCAAGCTTGCTGTTGATTGATTTATCCCTTCTGTTGGCCTGGTCCTAGAAGAGGAAGAGAGGAAGGAACGCTTGTCAAAGTAGGTAGACAGTGGCATTTCGTGACTGCAGTATCATTATCTCCTGAATGTTCCTAAAGCCAGGTTTCTGCTTGGTGATGCTTGACAGAATCCTCTGAGACCATTCCCCAAATGCTTCTTCACCTTAAAAGAAAGGCTCCCAGTTCTGATAGCTCAAACAAAATCCAAACCCTATAAATCATTTATTTTAACAGCTTCACGTGGTTTATTCTCAATCTCTGGCTGAGCAAGCGCATTTAGTCTTTGTTGTGGCATCATTAAGGCTTTGGACTTGGCATGAGAGGATCAGATCAAATGTTTGAACATTTAAAAGTGTGTGTTGGCTCTCAAGCCCTTCCATTTGGAGGACAGAGAGGAAGGAACGCTTGTCAAAGTAGGTAGACAGTGGCATTTCGTGACTGCAGTATCATTATCTCCTGAATGTTCCTAAAGCCAGGTTTCTGCTTGGTGATGCTTGACAGAATCCTCTGAGACCATTCCCCAAATGCTTCTTCACCTTAAAAGAAAGGCTCCCAGTTCTGATAGCTCAAACAAAATCCAAACCCTATAAATCATTTATTTTAACAGCTTCACGTGGTTTATTCTCAATCTCTGGCTGAGCAAGCGCATTTAGTCTTTGTTGTGGCATCATTAAGGCTTTGGACTTGGCATGAGAGGATCAGATCAAATGTTTGAACATTTAAAAGTGTGTGTTGGCTCTCAAGCCCTTGTAACTCCATGTCATCTTCATGTCTAGGTCTTCTTGTCATGGATCTCTGATTATGTGTGAGTTCAAGTGCATTTGTCCTCAACAACACAGTTTAGTTATCAAAAAACCCAATCCCTGCTTTCTTTTCTGATGCCAAGTTTTCCTACTACAGATATTAAAGGTCAGAGATAACAACAACATTCTTTGTTCCACTCTGACTCTTCGTGGCTGCTGTGGGCCATGGTGAGGTGGTGAAGGCTGGGCAATGTGCAAGCAGTGGATGAACCAAACCATCCATGAACGGGGGAAGTTGTGAAGGGAGGCAGAAGGGAACAGGTAGCAGGGAAATGACAGGCAGTGGTCAAAAAAGGTATTTTCTTTTGCACATATTTGATGAGATTTGCTTTTGTATTTTGTTATGTCCTGTTGTCTTAAATAGAAATCAAGATACGCAGCTAGATTACATTGCCATGTCAAACATTCCCAGGTTGATTCATTTGCTATAT